TGACCACAATGGCACTGTTGTAATCAGTGTGTTGCCTGAAAGATACACTTTAAAGAAGGAAATATTTAGTTTGGCTCATGACTTCAGAGGGCTCGGCCCCCGGGTGAGCATCTTTAGTGTTTCTCTGTCACAGTGAGGCTGATCGCCTCATTGTAGCTGGAAAGCAGAGCATAACAGGAAACAGACAGGACCAAGAGGTACCCTTTCAAAGGATGTCTCCAACTAGGCAGCACCTTCCCAGTTCTGCCCCCAGCAGTTTACTCCAAGTTTGAATTCATGAGTATGCTGAACTATTGGCTAGCTCAAGGCCCTCACAAACAAACTTATTATCTCTGAAAATGAACTCAGACACGATCAGAGGTATGTTCTGTCATCTAGTTGTTCAACACAGTTAAGTTGACAATCAAGAGTCCCCATGAAGGGCCGAAGAAATGGCTCAGTGGTTAAAAGCATCCATTGCTCTTGCAGAAGACCCACATACATGGTGGCTCAACCATTCCTAGCTCCAGTCCCAAGGGATCTGATGCCCTCTCTGACCTCCACAGGTACTGCATGTCCATGGTGCACATACACACATGCAGGCAACACATTCACACACATAAAATAAAATAAAATATATCTAAAATGAAATGTTAGGAAAAACTAATCTCCATATCATGACCACCACCATTGATATCACCCTTTGTGTCAGTGGGAGGAGTATGAGAGGACATCTGTGAGAACAGAAATATTTATCGGCTTTCTGAGGGTGGGAGTTGAAGGATGTGTGTAGTCATATGTAAATTGCAGCACACTCGAGACAGGCCACAGAAGAGGCCAAAAGAGGGTGTCAGATTCCCTACAGCAGGAATTATAGGTGATTGTGAGCCACCTACAGAAGTAGCAAATGCTCTTAACTGCTGAGTCATCCTCTCTAGCTCCAACATTTGTGCATTAAAATGATAATAGTTGTTATTATTTAATGTCTCAACGTATCTATTTTTAAGAAGCATAGCTTGGGACTTGTGCTTCAGAATCAGGAAGGGCTGTATATTCTCCCAAAAATGCATGGAGAAACCAAGTCATGCAAAGATGGTTGTGACACCCTGTCAACAGCAGCTAGGACAGTGACGACCTCGAGGTGACATCCCGTAGAAAACCATAAACATGAGGTCCAGCACCTGTGGCCTCTCTTCTCTTGGAACATCTTTCTTCCTAAGTTCTCTCTACTGAGAGTTTGAGTTTCTAATAGAGGTCACTGTGGGTCACAGAACACTCCTTACCAGCCACAGCACGAATGAACCGAAAGAGCACACTAAGGGAAGGAAGCCATTCCCAGTTACTGTCTAACTCACTTTATGTCTCCAGGACAGAAAAATCCAGGGGGAGAAAGTTGCTCAGCGCTGACTACTGCAGGTGTGAGATGAGGCCCTGCCTCAGACAGACACAGAATTTCTGGAGCCATAGCAGGGCATCAGGAGGCCTCAGGGAGGCGTGTGAGGGAAGAGAGACAAACCTGAGAGAGACTCAGTGGCCCTAAAACAAGTTTTCCTCCTGATACTGTCTGCTGAAACTGCATATGCTGATTCCACCAACCAAGCATGGAGCTCTGAGGAACCAAGCAGTCTGCTCTTTTCTCCCCAGATCTCAGACTTTTGAGCAAGGAAGCAATAAACCTTTTGAAGAAACAAAAGAAGGAGAATATCTTGGCATAGAAAACAATTAATTTTTGTTTGTTTATTTTCTTTCCGTTTTGTCTGTGACAGGGTGGGGCTGACCTCAAATTCACCATGTAGCTGAGGATGGACTTGATCTCTTTGAGCCTTCTGCTCCCACCTCCTGAGTTCTGGCCTGCCTGGTGTACAATAGACATTCTTTTAGAAGGCAATAGGGATGGTGATATGGCTCAGGGAGCAAAGGTGTTTGTCATCAATCCCAGAACCCATGTGGAAGGAGGAAGGAGCAAACTGACTCCACACGCATGCTGCAACATCCTAGTGCCCCTGACATTATACACACATGCACACGCACAAAATAACGCTTAATGCATATCTAAAGATCTGATCGATTGTATTAACTAAAATTAAAGGCTTTAGCAGTGGTCAAAAGTCAGTGCCGAGAAAGGGAACAGGAAGTCCTAGAAGAGAAAGAATCCTCCCAATGTATCCACAGAGGCACACAGAATCCTCCCAATGTATATATTCACAGAGGCACACGAAGAAAACACACAAAGGGTCCCAAAGTCACTACAGAAAATCCAAACAGTTCTGTAGACCAACAAGCACAGTAGAGATGTCAAGGCACAAAAGGAATAAAGCAAGGTGCTCAATGTCAGTCATCAGAAAAAATGCCATTACGATCACCATGAGGTGCACTAGAAACCTGTCAGGATGGCTAAAGGGAAAAGGCAAACAATACTAAGAGTTGGCAAAGCTGCGGGGCAACTGTGATGACACAATCTGCATGTGGGAGTGAAATTCAATCCGACCACTCAGCCAACTTCTGCTGGAGTTAATCCTATGCTTCCCCCATGAATCACTAATTCCATGCCTAGGAACACAAGTTCACTACAATACACTTCCTGTCGAAGGCAATGGCCGTCGCCTGTTGATGGGTAACAGGAAACTTTCTCTTCCTTTCTATGCTGATTTCCAATGAATATGTGTTACTTTCTATTGTTGCTTCTGTTTGTTGAGACAGTGTCTCTCTGTGCAGCCCTGGATGTCCTAGAACTCAGTGTGTAAAGCAGACTGGAACTCAATAATCTGCCTGCTCTGCCTCCAGAGTGCTGGGATTAAAGGCCACCATACTGGGCATATATTATTTTTATAATCAAAGGAACCTTTAAAATAGAGCACACTAACAGTTTTCTAGTTCCTGCTGCTAACTCCTCCGTGCATTACTCACTCAATCCTCAGTGATACTGTGAGGAAGCCTAAGAGACCTAGAGCAGAGGAGTGAGAATGTGGCAATGTGGCAATGTAGATGGTGCCCACAACCACAGCACCCAGGTGTAGACTGTGTATTTATTAATCTCTGCCATCATTTTGTGAATTCCATTTTACATGTGGGTAAACTAGAAGACACTACTAGGGTCCAGCCTGTCACATCAAGTGCCTTCTCTAAGCCAGCTCCTGTCAATTTTGCCTCTGACCTGCTGTGAGAACATAGGCAAGTTATTTGACTGCATGGAGCCTCAGTTCTCTCATCTGAGAAATGGGTTGATAGCAGAACTTACTTTGGAGCATTTTATGGCCTGGATGCCAAATGTCCCACAGACTCTTGTATTTGAACACCTCAATCTCCTCTGGTGGTGCTGTTTGGGAGGCTGGGCCTAGGTGGTGGCTGTGGAACACAAGGGCCAGGCCTTGAAGAATACAAGCAAGGCTTGCTTCTCTTGGTCTCTGCTTCCCATTCCTCTCCCTGACTAGGTGTTTATGAGCAAGTAATTCCATAAGCCTCAGCTGCCATGGACAGAGCCTCTCCATCCACCACACCCTCCCCACCACTGAAGGACAGCACCTTTTACTGTGAACCAGCCTTCTCCCACAGGTTGCTTGTGTGAGATATCTTGTTACAGTGATAAGAAAAGTAACTGAAGATAGTGTTATGAAGATAAAAGGGTAAACTCAAGGGATGGAGTGGGAACAGACCACACCTCAGTCCTCAAGGCACTTGCTCTCTCCAAGGTGCTTACCCAGGCCACAGAGTGGCAACAGAGGAGCCCTGGACTTCTTCAGATCTAAGAAGCTGCCAGAGCAGCAGCAGGAGGGGCTGGGAGCCTTTCTTCAGGCCACTGAAAGAGTGAATGTCAATCTGAACACTGTCTTAACAGCCAGCCTTGGGCAAGGCTTTCATTCATCCCTTCAACAACCGTTTCCTGGGTCCTGGCTGTAAGCTGGGCACTTTGGTGGCATCTCAGATGAGTTTTGGGCCCCTTTGCCTAGAGGCCAGAGCAGAGTGGAGGGGCAGAGCTACTATGGCACTGATTCTATTGGGACAGCTCCGGGAGGCTTCCTCTCCCCTGCCCCATCTAACCAGCCTCGTTGTCTCGGGAATCCCACCTCTGGCTTCCCTGGGCTATCTTTCTTGAGCAGCTCCATGGTGCCTGCAGAATTACCATCCCACCTCATGTCACCTCTACCTGTGTCACCACCCCTGGATCCAGCCCTGACATCCAAGCAACCTTTAGTCTAGAATGCAAAGTTGACCAAACCCTTCACCCTTCTTAACTTCAAATGTGCCATGTCCCGGTTTCCCATAACATCTAGTTAACACAGCCCTTCACATTTGACTCTTGTTTATATTTCCAGTTCTGTCCTCCACCTGTCCCATCTTGACATGGTCACCTCTGCCCCCTGAACTTCTTTGCACTCTCATGATTCAAACCTTGTAGGCTTTCCCCAGCACTGTGATGTTAAGCAGCCATATCACCCACCATTGCACGGGTCCACTGGAAAATGCTCCATGCTCTGCAAATCCCTTTCCCAGGCTGCCTCCTGGAGAAGGTCTTGGCCAACTTCTTTGCTAAGCTGGCTCCTGATCCACACTTCTGATTGGCCACAGCGTGGAGTCATCACTATATGCATCCCTATTTGTCCCTCCACTGCTCCCAAGGCAGAGATAGGATGATTGTCACTGCATCCCCTAGTCCAGTGGTTGTCAACTTTCCCAATGCTGCAACCCTTTAATACAGTTAGCTCCTCATGTTGTGGTGACCACTCACCATTATTTTCATTGCTACTTCATAACTCTAATTTTTCTGCTGTTATGAACTGTAACATAAATTTCCTGATGGTCTTAGACCACCATTGTGAAAGGGCCATCCAACCCCAAAGGGTTTTTGACCCACAGGTTGAGAACCACTGCCCTAGACAGTCGGGACTCTGATTGCCAGGGTGGGGCCAGGCCAGAGAGAACATGGAAGGGTGAGGAAGGGAACAGCATGTTCTAGGACCCTGGGGGCTTATGGCCTTATGGATTCCCAACAGACCATTCCTCCCAGACTCCTTTCCCCTTACCTCTGTAAGTTCCCTACATCACAGGAGCTGTCTTCCAATTGCTCACACTTGGTAAAGCACTTAGCAATGTCAGTCAAGTCAAAGGTGTCATACTCATGGGCATCCTTGAGCTGGCAGACGTTCCTTGACCTTTCAGTGGTTTCATCTAAGGGAGGAAGCAGAGGGAGACAGGGCAGGTTAGCAGAGGGGCAGTAGACTAGGAGATGTGGTGGCTGCATCTGTCATCCAGGTAGCTGCCCCCTCCAGCAAGCTCCACCCTCCCCAATCCCCAGTTCCCAAGGGAAAGATTCACTCCTACCTCACAGAGCTGGTGAGGTGCTTTGGGGGAAGGCATGGCATGTAATTCTCTAGACAAAGACTTCACACGGTAGTGTGCAGTAAAAAGCTCTCTGTCAGTAGTCCTGCCTGAATGCCCTCCTCCACAGAGCCTGCCTGGTTTCCTGCCATTGCTCCATCAGTCCTTCCAGGCCAGACAGCTGTGGCTGACTTCAGCTCACAAGGCTTGCTTGACCTTAGCCTCCCAGCTTTGCCTGGAGTAGGTGGAGGCTGCAGCAGGCTGAGGCCAGGTGCAGAGTTGGGGTGGGTGTGAGGGGGTCAGGATAAAGAGTGGCTTGAGCCCTGAAGCAAGTGGAAGCTGCTCCAAGACTAGAGACTGGCTTCTGTGTCTTCTAGTACAGAGCCCTGTGCTGTGGAGCACAGAAGCTTCCTGTCACAGCCTAGCTGTTTGTCCTCAGGAAAGTTACTCAATCTCACTGAGGCTTGGTCTTCTCCCTCTTTGTGTTTTAGTGTTTTAGAGGCTGGAAACAGATATTATACTTGGCCACACAGCTCACAGCTCATCTCAGGTATGCTGGATGATGTAACCTTTTTTTTTTTTTTTTTTTTTAAAGACTGAATCAACCTGTCTATATATCTCTGGCTGTCCTGGAACTCACAATGTAGACCAGGCTGGTCTCAAACTCACAGAGATCAGCCTGTCTCTGCTTCCTGAGTACTGGGATTAAAGGCATACACCACCACATCTGGATATGGTGTGACTTTTAATTGAAGTAATTGGTGTGTGTATGTGTCTACCCTCCATTGTATCTTTGCTAGCTTCTGCTATGATCAGAAAATGCTCATAACACAGGAATCTTGATCAGATTTTTACCAGGGATGTGGGGTTAGAGTGTTGCTCAGGAGAGCATTTGTCTGGTGCATGCAATGGGTCAGTCCCAGCATCCAAGGCAGCGAGCATGGTCAGGGACAGGGCTCACAAGACATGCAACTCAGCATATGGGAAACTCTGTTTCCAAAAATAAATATAGAAATAAATATTTCTAGGCTGTATCAAATTTCCCTTCAGAAAATGTGTGTGCACATTCCCCCTAAAAGAGACAAGAGTAGTCATTCATTCACATGCTTCCAATACCTTTATTTCACCAGATCTTCCAGTCTCTGCCAGCCCAAGAGATCAAAGGCAGTCTCATTCTAGTGTAGAAAGCGAATGACTTCATTTTGTGTATTGCTGTCCATTCCCATCTCTCTCTCTCTAGGAATCTGTGTATTGGATCTTTCACATTGTGTGTGTGTGTGTGTGTGTGTGTGTGTGTGTGTGTGTGTGTGTGTGTGTGTGTGACTGCAGGTTGGTACCTTCAGATTGGTCCACCAGGAACTGTGACAGAGCTAAGATGTGGAGTCCTGGGGGGAGAGGAGGGCTGGGAATTTGCTTTTTAAATATCCTTTGCTGGTGTTTGATTTAAAAAACACCATGGACAGCACTACTTTAAGTTTAAAGAAGGTGGTTCATTTTCAAGTATTAGAACAGAAAGCAAAATTTATGACAAAAAATGGCAGAACAAAAAGTAAACAGTATAAAGCATACTAGGTCTCTATGTGACAATGCTGTTAAATTTGCTTCCACTTCCAGCTAGGAAGGGGCGCTATTTAAGATGCACTGAGGCTGGGTGCTGGGGGTAGATGCAGAGACTGTTCACGGTTGCATTCACATGAAATCTGGGGAGGGGTGGAGAGGAGGAGGGGTGGAGAGGAGGAGGAAGGACTCGATGAGGGGAAAGTGGTCAGGGTTAGGAAAGGGGGCGGTAGCCTCAGGGTGGGCTTCCCTTCATCTTGTTGGGAATCCCAGCAGGGCAGCAGAGGGACACTCTTAGCAGCCAATACAGAAGCACAGAGAAGAGTTCTGTGGTTTCCTCTTCTTCATCCTTGTGCTATGAGCCCACTGGCCTCAAACTCAAGACCCTCCTCAGGAGTGCTGGAACAGCAGGTGTCTCCATACCCGAGAGAAGACTTAAACATGTATCTCATGTTTTTTTCTGAGGGCTTTGCATGTCTAGCTGTGAGTTTAACAGCTGTGGATATAGAAGGTGGGGACAAGCTGGAGGTCAGAGGCCGGAAGGTGGCCCATGTGCCCCTATACCCTGACCCTTGTCCCTTTAGCCCCCTCCCTCCACTCATCACCAGACTCTTTAGCTTCTGCAACCACAGCCCATTCCTCTCCCTTCAGGCTCAGGCAGGCAGCTACCACATTAGTGCCCCCTTTTAGCACCACGCATGCTGAGTAAAGAGCCACTGGGTTAATGGACAAATGGCATCTGTTGCAGCAATGACCACGAAGGACAGAATCGAATGTCTAATATAAATCTGCCAACCCCTGTGTCACTCAGATGACTGACATCACCCAGTCCTGAGCATCCCCATCACTGCTGAGTCCTCATCACCACTTGGAGAAGCCTTGTTGGCCTGCCCAGGGTTGCCTGACAGCCTGCTCTGCCCCAGGATGTCCTCTGACCATGAGAAAGACAGTACAGTCACTTTCTATCTGTGTTTATACCCAGAGTCTCCAGTAACCCAGGCTGGCTCCAAACGTACTATGTAGCTGAGGCAGAATTCAAACTCCTGATCTTTCTGCCTCTACTTCCCAAGTGCAAGTACGTGTCACCATACCTGCCCACTTTTGAGCCAGACATTGAACTCTGTCCTTTATCGAAAAGAATTTTTTTTTGAACCAACAGATACTGGCCCATGTGGCCGGTCACATGTCCACCAGTGACAGACACGAAGAGAGATGGACACCTAGGATGCTTGTCAAAGTTGGAGCGAACAAGGAAAGACAGGGCACTGAGATGGAAGCACCTCACCACTCTAGACAGCCACCCCTTAACAGCCAAGGAGGGCACTGAGCCACCCACGGAGCTAAGACTGGTAGCTGGCATCCTAGGGTAAAGGTAGGACTAGGAACCCCGTGTTGGTGTATTAAGCTGAAATGTGTGTGACAGGAGTGGTCTGGGTCTTGGCTCCTCTCACTGATGACATTGAACAGGGGTGACGGGAGGGGAAGCAAGTGACAGATGGGCTGTGGGGGCAAAGCAGCTGCCCATCCTTCGAGGCTCCGCTTCCAGGCCCCAACACCTCTACTTGAAGCCCAGAAACCACTGAATAGCTTGCTTGGTCCATCACATACTAGAACCAGGTTCTAGCCTAGCCAGGATGGATGGGCAATATCTTTCCTCCCCACCTACAGCACACTGTGGAGTGACAAAGGGAGCCTGAGACCCAGCATGACGAGATTTATTAGGACAGGAATGCCAAAAGAGAGAGTGAGGTGGTCCCTCTCTCTGATTCTTCATTTCCCCAGCCTATCTGAATCCCTGGGTATCTTCCCCTGCTTCCCAGGGTGCTTTGCAGCACAGGCTCTCACAGGCTTAGCAAGAGAGTTAGGGGGACCCACAGGCTTGCTCGCTCACCTGAATCCAGTAGCAGGAAGAGCAGGAGGCCCAGGCTCCTGGCTATTGCCATCAGTAGTCAGCAGAGTCCGGTGGCTGTGTGGCCTCCTGGTCACAAGCTCTGTCCACTGGCCTTCCTCCTGCCTGACGTGCGGCCCACTGTTTCCTGTGGCCTCTTTCTTGCTCTTCCTGCCCAATGAATGGCGCCATCTGTGGGGTTGTGAAAGGTGGGTGTGGGGAGCTGGGCGGTGCTCTGTGATGCACATGGCCCTGAGACCACCTGCAGATGGGACTGGGCTGAATTCCCATCACCCTGACAGTGGGCACTGTAGAGCTGGAGCCCAGCAGCCACAGGAGGCTCTGGACAGAGAAGCCCTAAGGTTTCCCTGTTACCCTGGTGAGGGCCTCTGTATGCATGTAAGTGTGTATGCGTGTATGCGTGTATACAGTTCCTTCTTCCTGCCTGGACCAGCGGTGACCAGCTTGGGGAGGGTGACTGTAACTTCACAGCACTGATTGCCATCGCATGCCAGGTCTGGTTAGCTGATTACGCACCTCCTCCACAGAGCAGTTCCACTCGTCACCTCACAAGTCCTCCCCGTGCCCGTGAGAGAGGCCAAGGGGCAGACAGCCAGCGCAGGGTTGTGCACAGGCTGATTGTCAGTGTCTGGATTTGATGAGACCCGTAACCAGCCTAGCACACCCATGAGGCCAAAGACATGGAAGGCCATGTGCAAACCTAACCTGCTGGGCCCGAGAGGAGAGCGACATTGACACTGTGGGCCTTGAGCCTCTCCCACAAGGCAGGGTAACAGGGAGAGTCAGGGACATGGGAGGTGTCCAGGGTCTGTGGAAGGTGATCAGCCTGACATGCTGTTGTGGCCACTGCCTGGCCTGGTGACTCCGTACTAGCTGTCTGTTGCTTGGCCCTCTCACAGGCATGGGAAGGACTTGTAACACGATGCATGTGGACTTGCTCTGTGGAGGGGTTTACCAGCACTGGCACGTGATGGTGATCAGCGCTGTGTAGTTACAGTCACCTTCCCTGGTCACCGCTGGTCCAGGCAGGAAGAAGGGGAATCATATACACACATACACACAAACACACAAGCACACATATACAAGCTTAGGGAAGGGGTGGACTCTACCACTCTGCTGACCCCAAGGAAGTCATGGGTAAGGCCAAGTCCTTGGTGTTGTCACAACCACTCAGATGGACAGACTGTCTTCACTAGCACCCCTCTCAGATCCGAGCTAGCTCCACTCCGCTCTGGGGTCTTTCTGGAGAGCTATCCATCTGTAGCTATCCTGTCTCCCCTTCCTTCCACATGGCCCCTGCTAGGGCCCTTTGGACCCGAGGGGGTGTGAGAAGGGTCACTCTTGCTCTATAGAATGTGGGTGGGGGATATAGCCTGGATTCCCAGGTCAGGATCCAGAAGTTCCTGTGTCCCCGAGCTTCCTCTAACAGGAAGGTGAGAGCCAATAGGCCTACCACTTCTCCATCCAGCCTCCTCTGGCTGCTTCTGGCCTTCCTCCTAGCTTCACAAAAGGGTCAGGGTGTGTGAGAGGGTGGGCCCTGGCATATTGGGACAACCCTAGAACCCATGCTGGCTTCGTGAGCCTCATGGGTACCTGAAAAAGGCCTGGTAATCTGCAGACAGAGGCATGGTGTCCTGTTCCTGGAGGCAGACGGACAACTGGGAGGAGGAAGAGTCAGACTCTACAGAGCTCCTAGGAAGACCCCATGAGAGCAGGGACTGGTCTAGGCTCCCATCCAGAGCCCTGGGGCCCCCACATTTCAGAGCTAACAGAACAGTAATGTCCCCTTCTACTATCTCCCACCCCACTTTATCCCAATGTCTCCTAGTCAGCAAGGCCTCAAGTCCTCTGCCAGGCCAGCCAGCATCATCTGGCTACCCTGGTTGTATCACAAACCATAAACGTGTCTTTAGAAGCTCCCTTGCTTGTCTTAGTGGGAAAGAGTGTTGTCAACAGTTCCTCAGCCTAGAAAGAGCCACCAGGGCCAAAGGAGCCCCTTAAAGCCATTAGGGGTCCCTTTCCCTTATCCAAGGCAGCCTTGAAATCAGAGGTTCAGGGAAGAGGAAATTGAGAGGGGGTGCTTTCTGACTGTGAAAGGGGAGAGGGTGTCAGTCAAAGAGACCCTCTCACAGCGATCTAGAGGCCTATAAGCACTGCACTCCTGCTGGGTGGCCAGCAGGGGACTGTCCAGGTAGAGGGCCTTGGGAATGGGTGGTTCTTTCCTCATAGGTAGGGACTAAAGAACCTGAAAATAAGTCAGGAATGGCGGTGAAGACCTTTAATTCCAGCACTCAAGAGGCAGAGGCAAGTGGATCTCTGTGAGTTCCAGGACAGCCTGGTCTACATAGTGAGTTCCAGGATGGCCAGAGCTACATAAAGAGAGATCCTGTCTCAAAAACCAACCAAACAACCCCAAAGTAGAATCAGGGGCCACCAAAGTTGTGGAGGAAGACTGGAGACATGGCACCAGCGGCTCCCACATGCCAAGGTCCCTGCAGGTCCTCAGATCTGCCACATTCATGCCATGGTATGGAAACTGTTCATATACCTAGAACCACCAAGGCAGCTTCCCACTCCTAGTTTACTCCTCAGCTTCCCCTGGAGCAGCAAGGGGTGGGGTGGGGTGTGATTGTGGACCTGGGCTCATCTCAGACTTCAAATGCAGTGGGATTTCTTTTCTCCCTCCATTCCCTCCTTCTTCCCTCTTCCCTCTCTCCTTCCCTCCCTCCCTCCCTTCCTTTCTTGACAGAGTCTCACTATACAGCCCAGGCTGGTGTTGAACTCTCAATCCTCCTGCCTCCACATCTCAAGTACTGGGGTTACAGTATGCCACCACATGCTGCTTTTTATACCTATTTGTACTTAAACATGGATGGGGACAATCACACATTAGGGGACAGATACCTGAGACATATCTAACGTGTGTTGTATAAGCAGGAGGAGAGATTTGAGGAGCAGCCTAGAAGCAGGGTTGGGAAAGAAACTGAGCCATTTCATTTTTGCAGCCCACCTGCTCCAGACTGGTCTGTGTCACATGACCAGCCAGAACCTGAACTCAGCTCTCAAAAGTGGCTGGGAAGGTTTTGCACATTCAAAATTGTAAGATCAGTGGATTTTATGTCCCTGTCTGGACCCCATAAAAGGCAAGTGGTCTGACTACCTAGGTCCTCCTCCACGTCAGCAGTGTCCAGATGTTCATGGTCTCCAGTTCACTGCGGCCACGCATCACCCCTAAACAGACACCAGCTGCCCATTTCTCTGTTTTCCTGACTGAGGAAGTGTCCCCAGGTGCCTTCTTTCCCACACTGCCCTCTCCTCCTTGCTGTTTTCTGATTGGCCCAGAGACATTTGACTCAGCAATGTTAGTAATAACAGTGCACGCCCGAGTGTGTGTGTGTGCGCGCACGCACACACACACACACACACACACACACACACACACACACACACACACACACGCACGCATGCGTGCGCACGTGCACACACAAAACCAAGACAGAAACTCTCCAAACTGTGGGGCTTTGCCATGACATCAGATAACAGCTGATTTTTATTTTTCTTCTCAGCAATCTCCTACAGTTTCCAAACTCTCTACAAAGAGCTTTAATATCAAAAGACAAATGAATTGGTATTTAAAAAGAACATCCTCCCCAACTTGAAGACCGAGGTCAAGATGAAATGCTACCTCCTGAAGGAAGTCCTCCTGGATTCCCAGCCAACAGCAGTGGCTCCTCATTCCTGTAACTGAAGCTCCAGGACATTGTGGAAGTGTTCAAGGGCCACTGCCAGGTCTGGTCGGTTGTGTTCCTACCACCAATGTGTTAAAACCAATGTGTGTTAGTAGGACAGAAATCACGCTAGGCCTGGGCCATCTGCAGTGATTTGAAGATCACCCCTCACAAGAACATCAAGCTCTGCCAGTGTCACCAGAGAGGGCCGTCTTGGTCTTCAGAATGTTGGGCTGAAAAAAGTGCCATTTCCCACAGTTCATGCTGGAGGGAGGCTTCAGGAGAGGTGGAAGCCCCTCTGAGGTGTGAGCCGAGGGGAAGCAGCTTGGAGATGGGCTCAGACAGGTTGGCCTGTTCTAGCCCAGGAGCATGCTCTGAGCCAGAGGTGGCAAGATAGAAGTTTATAGCAGGCACCAGCTCCTAGAACCGCTACCTCAAACCGCAGCACTGGCCTAGGACCCCAAGGTGCAGGTGGAAGGCTAGGGGACTAAAGAGGAGGAGGAGAGTGGGGGAGGAAGAGGAGGGCCTACAGGCAGGTGTGGGGAGGCTCACCTCTTCAGGTGTTGTGGCTTCAAAGTTTCTCCAAGCCCATCCACCCTCAGTGCCACCCTTGGGACCAAAAGTCAGAGACAGGCAGAGCGCTGCATGGTGACCACAGGGACAGAGCGGCATGAGCCAAGGCAACTTGGAACAACAGTTCAGGATGTGTCAGCCTCCAAGATCTAACCCTGACCCTGGCTTGGGTCTGCAAGTCTTAACACCCAGCAGCAACAGCTAAGCCCAGAGGTGACCAGTAAGACAAGACCTCAGCTCCAGCCTGAAGCAGCTGTGAGAACATTCCCACAGCCAGCATGACAGTGTGCTTCGGGGACCAGATCTGGAAGTGGAGTAGTCCCCAAGGCCAGCTAGGAATCTACCTATCAGAGCAATAGTCCTATCCCTCCAAGGACCAGTGCCTTCTCTAGTATGCCACTAACCAACCAAGGCTGGGCACAGCACTGAGCCACAGACAATGTGAGCAGATGCCATGCGTGTGTCCTCCCATGAGGAGGTGTGCCGGTGGCCTAGATGCGGCTGGAAGAGGTGCTGCCAGAGCTGATGGGGAGCTTGACGATGTCCGAGTTGCTCTTCAGAGGGGAGGGACCACCTTGGGCCTGAAACCGCATGGACCAGTACCACAGGAAGATGAGGAAGCCTGTAGGCAATGAGGTAGGTACATCATCAAGTGACAAGACCCCATCTGGTCCTTAGTTCCCTCTCAGAGTCCCTCTGTTCCAAGGGTCCAGCCATATACTCAGGACCCTGGAGCCACCAGGGATGATTCAATACAAAGTAGCATATCAGCGGTTCAGCGTTGGCCTTAGTTTAGGCTCTCATACCTCATAGGGGTCAAGATGGAGATACCTAACAAGATTCTGGAATAAATTCCCTCACCCGTTCCATCCCATGGTGACTCCATTGACTCTGACATGGCCATGTGGCCCCTGTTCAGTCGGCACAGCCAAGTGCAGAGGTGTATAGGCCTTTTGTCTGAGTATGGGAGACATGGGATGGAGGAGTGTGGACCCTACTGGTCTCAAGCTGGGGCCTCCAGGGTCCCACCTCCAGCCCTCACTACCTGACCTTCAGGCCACACAACACCCTCCGCCCATCCTCCCAACACTTGTTTAACCACAGGGCTTTTGTTTTTGCCCCTCCTGCACCTGGTATTCCTATACCAGAGTTCCCTGACCTGCACCATAGGCAGGCCACCCTGGGCATTGTGTTAAAATGCAGAAAGAATCAGTGGGTCTGAGTGGGCCACAGTTTGCCTTTCTGACAAGCCCCCAGTGATTCTGACTCTAGTTGACCCAAGACCACTGTTCATACTGGGTGCCACACTGCCATTGCCTACCACAACTCTCCTACTCTGTGAGTCTCCTTTGGATGGCACACTTTCTGGACCACACTGTCTCCTACATGAGGATTGATGGGGCTGCTCATGCGGCAACCCTGGGGCTTAGCACAAGGCTCAGTGCACATAGTAAGTGTTCAATAAAGGCTTGTCTTGCATATGGCCTGGGTATACTCATGAGGCAGCTGAGGCCCAGAGAAGGCAGCATCTGAGGTTCCCTGGGTATTTCTTCCCTTTGTTCTACATGTGAACTGTGTGTACCAGCTGGAGGGGAAAAGGATACTGAGTAGGGGTAGAGCCCTCACCATGCCTACCTTGGAAGGAAGTTATGATGCTGAAGAGGTACAGGATGACAAGCTGGAAGGTACCAGAAGCAAAGGAAAAGAAGACCAAGGCCCAGGGAAGGCCAAGGACCAGGCTGAGACCCAGCAGTGTCAGCACGTGGGGCCACTTCTGACTGTGTGGGCGAAGCCTCAGGATCTGCACCACCATGGTGGCCAGCATGGCCATGTTGAACAGGAACACCAGGCTGAAGAGGCCCAGGTTAGTGACATAGCTAACCAGAGAGTCCCGGATCCAGCACCTGGGTGAGAGTGGGCGGCTCAGTACATAGGAGGCTTAGCTTAGGAGTAGGAATGGCAGCAGGTCCCTGGAGGGTGCTGGGCTAGGCGTCGGGACTGCTCACCATTTACAAGCACTGCTGCCTTTCTGTGTCCATGCCAGTTTTAAAGTAAACTTATTATTTTTAATTACGTGTGCAAGTAGATAGGTTCACATGAGTGCTGGTGTACATGGAGGCCATTAGAGGTCAGAGGTGTCAGTTCTTTTGGAACTGGAGTTACAGGTGGCTGTGAGTGCTGGGAACCAAACTCAGGTCCTCTGCAAGATCAGCACTGAGCCGTCTTTGGTGTCACTTTTAAAGACATGCTGAGTTATGCAGTCAAATAACTTAGAAGAAGGTATTAAGGGAACCACATTCTTGACAGTGCAAGGTTGAGGCAAACCCACCAGGCCTAGTACAAGGGGGTACATGTCATCTACATGGACCAGTGAAAGTATTCCTTCCAGGCCTGGTACTCAAAAGCCCTGGCTTCAGGTCTAGTTTCGAGACGTCTGCTGCCAGCTGGAGTAGGATAGGAGGGTGGGGACTCATCCTGACCCTACCTCCACATCAACCCACTTTCCCCTCAGCTGAGCCACTCGCTAACTACCATGCGACCAAGAGTAAGCTCCCGTGCCCTCTGGGCTGTAGTCCTCCATCAGCCTCAGAACCAGCAGTTGTGGCAAGGAAGCCTGCCGGGAGACCAACACTTCTCCATTGTGGTTCAGAGAAGGGCCAGCTCTGCACATAGGCGCCTGACTGCTGAGGAACAGTCTTTGCCTGTCTTAGTCCCTGTGGTCCTTAGCCCCGGGTTCTGATCACTGCCAGGCCCATCCCTTCAGCTCACTGCAGCCCACAGCCTCCTGGTGAGGGTCTCTGACCCTCCCTTGAGGCCCACACTCCTGCCCCTCCCTGCCCCAGCCACTCACATAGAGGGGTAGATGACATGTTCTGGAGTCTGGCGCACAGCCAGGATGATGGGGCCATAGTTATCCACATCAACCAGCGCCACCAGAGTAACCAGGAAGACAGGAAAACCTGTGGACAGCAAGCAGAGGTTCTGGCTCCACCCTCTGAACCCATTTCCTCTGTTCCCAATAGACCTGAATAGGTCCTCTCTGGTTTCCCATAATGAGTAGGCTCTCTTTCAACTTTGCCCTTTCCTTTGCCCTTTCCCAAGTCTCCCGGGAGGAAAGGCCTGTGGTCCACTACTGAAGCATGATCAAACAAGGAAGATGACAGGATGATGGGGCTGTGGGAGACAGTAAGAGGATATCAGGAACTCTGGCAAAGAGGACAACTTTGACTCACTAATAAGTAGAAATGGAAAGTTCCAAGGAAGGGAGGGGGCTTCACATAGCCAAGGCTGCTCGAGTTTTGTGAATCCTTGGCAGAAGGTGAATGACAGGGACACAGGAAGAGCAGCAAGGGGGGCCAGGGATGTGGGGAAGTCAAGGTCTGTGCAATGTCCAAAGTGACCCATGGTAGGAAACTCTGGATCCCACCCAGTATGACTTGAATAGTCTGAGTCACAGGTAAGGTTACCAGACAAGATCAAATGCCAAGGCCATAGAGACTCTGCCACATAGGTTCTGGGGATCTATAAGGGGGGTCATTGTTGGCCTAAGAGCTCCCAGTCCAGATGGAGGAACTGGTGGGTCTCTATAACAGGGAAGGGCAGAACCTGCTGTCTGTGCTTGGCTAGAAAAGCCTAGTGGACAATGGCTCATGGGGTCCCCTATCCACTGCCACTTACCCCAGCCCACGATGCTCAGCTTGAGCAGGTAGCCAGGGACGTAGGTGCTGAAGACCTCTACCACCAGGCGGTAGAGATTGTAGCCCTCGAGGCCCATCCAGGAGAGACAGGCAAGCAGGGAGAAGTGCAGGAAGATGGCACTGGTACGACAGGCTGCTTCAGAGCCTGCCAGTGCCACGGGTTCACTGAGCAGAAAGCTCACGTCCAGCAGGAAGACAGCCAGCAACAGGTTCATGTGCACTTTAATGGTGTAGTCACGTGACTTCCTCCTACAAAGAGCATGTACTGGTGGGCCAGTGCAGGGGCATAGCCCTATTTCATTCTCCCTCCTCTTCCTCCTCTTTTTTTCCTATGCCCCTCTTCCAGGAAGCCTTCTGTGTTTGCTCCATAGCTGTCTGCCCATGTGGCTGTGAGTAGCTGTGGACACTTGCCCGGCAGCAAAATGTGGTTGTACCTATACTCCAGGATTCTAAGGAGTTCCAGAGTTGCAAACACTGGCCCCACCATAACCATCCCCCACTGACTCTTTTATCCTGTACTGCCCTGGGCTAGCTAGTCCGGTTCACCTCAGACTGTCTTGTCTTCTACACTGTGGCAGGACTGAGCTGGCGAAGTGTCTGCTGCAAGAGGCCTGCATTTCCTAGTAGTCCCCCGCCCCTGTGCCCACCCCTCCACAATGCCAATCACTGTCCTCAGAAGTGCATGCCTAGCCTTGCTGTACAGCTGCAGATGCACCTGGTCACAATGTGCCTGCTCGCGACACACCTGAACCCAATGCTATCCCTCTTCCTGTTTCAGGACAACTGAATACCTGCTGCATGTTTCCTAGAGCTAAGGGTGTCTCCCCTCCATCCAGGCAGGCCCAGAGTCTAACTGACCTCTGCTACTCCCTTGATGTGAGGCCCTAAAAGTTGACTACCCTCTTTGAACGCATGTAGCATGTGGATACTCCATGCAAAGTCACTTAGTCCTATTTCCATCACCGCTGTTCTGTGTGCCCCACAGTTTGGGTTCTCATTGCTCAGATCATCAGTGCTAATGCTGGACTAACTAACGTTACTGTTGGTATCCAATGTCCACTGAGTGAGATGGTCAGCAGATAGCCCATCCACGGCTTCACAACGACGCACATATTTTGGGTAAAGCAAGCCTGCTCAGCCAGAGTCTTAGCTTACAGAGATAAGGTGAAGCTACACTACTTCCTCTGGAATACCTGGAGCAGAGGTAGGCAGCAATGGTGAAGACACAAGCCAGGGCAGAGATGACACAGCCCACATAGGACAGGAGCGTCAGGTAGTGCTTGTGAATGGCTTCTACCTCCATAGACGACACCTGAGTGGGAACAGAATGGCGGCCTCAGCATGCTCTCCTCCAGTGTGTGCTCCTGATCAACTGGGAGCTAGTAAGCTCCTTCCACCCGAATGCCCTTCTGGAGGCCTCTGGAACTTCCTCCCATCCCAGGCAGTCTCTGACCCACAAAGACCAGAAATCATCACCCAAGAAGTAGGCTCTGGCCAGCCTGAGCCACACATAGCCCTAGCTGAGGCAGCTTTAGCTGGGGATTGTCCATTTGACGCTGGTACCAGGTACCAGTTGCCAGCAGAAGCTGTGCTCAGAATTTGAAATCTCTTGAGACCACTGAGGCTTCATCCCTGCGGCCCAGAAGATGCTTGCCCTGTGTACTCAGAAGAGCTGGTAGACAGAGTATGTATTTTTTTTTTTGGGGGGGGGCTTGGTATATTTTCTCCTCACAGTGGATTTAATTAGAATGTAACCATATAGTGAGCCAAGAAAAAAAATCTGGTTTCTTACAAAGGTAAGCTCCCCAGCTTCCCACACCAAGAGATTCTGGGAGCATAAAGTCAGGTCAATAAAGCCCCTGAGATTTAGGGGACTGTAGGAGCCAGTCTTAGTGGCTTCTGGTTAGAGGCATATAAGAAACAGTGTCTTGGCCCAGGCCTGTGGGTGGGAATCTACATTTTCATCACACACCAAAACTTGAGAACAAAGAGCAAACAGGAGCTTTACCAACCAGCACTTAATGACCTGTGCAGCCTTGGATTTGTTACTTAGCCTCCTTTGAAGCAGGATAATGAGAGGAGCTACTTTGGAAGGTTATTTGGGATTAAATGAGTCAACGGGTTCCAAGTACATAGCACAGCACACGAGCTCGGTCTGTGGCCAGACTGCAAGGAGTTATGGGGGAGTTACCTACCATCAAGACTGCAAAGTAGGTCAGATGGCTGCACAGGCAGGATGTCTGTGTGTCTCTGCGGATAGTCTCACAGCCCGCAGTGCTCCAGCTCCCAGGGCTGCTTGCTGAGGGAATGCATGGGACTCGGATCAACCCCAGTCCTTGAGACCCCACCATGTCCTCAGCACAAACTGGACCATTCCAGCAAGCTTTCCCTCCACCAGCAGACCCCTGGCCTCCACCACTCCCCCTCTAACCCCATCTTCTCCAGAAGTCTATCCCTGGGGATCCTCATCTCTCGAAGAGGCCCCTCCAAACTCACATGTCGGGTCGTCAACCCAGAACACACACTGTAGAGTCACATTCTTCTGCGGGGAAGAGAAGAAAGGGTCCTCTATAATTGATCTGTGTTCCTTCCATCGCCAACTCCACATGTTTTCTCTACAGCCTGCCCTGTGTTCTCTTTGCCCACCCCACCCCACCCCATTCCCTCTATGACCCACCCTTCATACTCTCTTCATAACCCATTTTGCAGTTCTCCCCCAATCTGGGACCTGGCTGTTGGGTGCTCTCAGCCAGGCAACCTTTCCATTACAGACAGGTGAGTTGGGAGGGATGGGAGCAGGGAGGGACTTTTGCCCTGAGGATGGCTTGATCTCACTTACCGGCTGTGGCTGGTGCTGGAAGGTGAGTACCACAGGCTCCGAGAGGTTGCTAACTTTGGTGTTCTGCACAACAATACCCAAAACCTTTTCACCCAAGACTTGGCTGGAATTCTTGTCCTAGATATATGAGATTGAGGGGACAGGTTGGAGGTTTAAGTCTGAGAAGAAACGCTAAGGCGGCCTCCACCCACCCTTGCCAGACTACTGTCACTCCTCGCACTTTGCTTTGAGAGCCTTGTGGGTCATTCACACTGTCATGAGAACAGTACCACTTACACCTCTCCCAGGACATTTATGCCTTGCAATGCCCTTTCTGCTTTCGAAGGAGAGGCTTTGGCTCTTGGAGGAGAGAGATTAGCTATTGTCTCGCCGTCTCTGTCAGAGATTTAAAAAATCAGTTCCCCGAGGAGTAGGTAAGGGGAAACTCCATACCTGGAACAAGGCTTGGCTGCTGAAGTCCACTACCAGGAGCCTATTGGCGGCATCCCGGCGACGGCCTCTGGTCTGCTGGAAAAGGGCCCGGGGCAGCAGCACAGAGTATGCCTGGATCTCACTCTGTTCCTCCTGCATATCAAGGACCCTCAGTGCCTGGCCCAGTGGATGCCCCAGGTTCCCCTCCAAACACCTTGCACCAAACAACCCCCTCCTAACCATTGAGCTCTGGGCTATGCCCCAAGAGACCAGGGAGTCAGGTGGCAGGAGTCTAGGCTAGGAGGCCCTCAATGGAGTCTTCAGACACCAGCTCTCCCATGGGCTTTGGATTGTCCCTGCACCCAGGGAAAGCCAAGGGGTGCCATGCTACATGGCATGCTCCCATCTGCCCTTCTAGCCCACTCTACCCTAGGTCACCAGACCTCCTGCTGGGAGTGGATTTGCAGATCCTCTAGCCCGGCTGTGGGTGGCAGCTTCCACACTGTGGCATTGACCAGATCCTCCTCAAAAGATACGGTGTCTCCCAGGAAGTTCACAGAAGTCAGCTTTGACTCCAGGTTCTGTAACTGCCTAGTGTTGGGGAGAGCATGGCGGTGACAGAGGGAAGGGTCGGGACAGGGGATCCAGATACAGAGATAGGCAAGAACAGAGGAGAGGGGACCAAGGACAAAGGGCACAGAGCAGCTGGGTATGGAGATGGGGGAGTGGCAGCGAAGGACATTGTTCTGGAATTCAGTTCATGACTCTGACCCACTTATGCCTGCGCTGGTCCCAGCCACTCAGAGATCAATGTGCTGGACTCCAGGATGGAGTCTCTTGTGGGGAATAGGCTAGGCACTGTCTGGCATATGCTGGTATCTGTCTTTGCTGACAGCACAGCAGGATTCAGTGGGAGGGGAGAGATCCAGCCTCAGGGAAGGTGTCCCCAGCCTCTCTTGACTCAGGTCAGATCTTTCACCAACCCCTAAGACTCACTGGCTGATGAATGCTGCCGAGGGCCGCCTGGGGGCCTTTTGAGGATGCTGTAGGAACTTGTTGAGCAGCTGCAATTCCTTCTTCAGATCGCACACATCCACAGAAGCATTGTGGGAGACCTTCTGTGGAGCATCTGGAAAGGCAACAGACTGCCTGAGGTTGCCACTGAGATCAATGGCCAGCATACACCCCTATGCAACCCTCATGTAGTACACCACACTTTTATTCAGTTTACAGAAGGAAACAAGGGTCCAAGAAGCAGAAGGGACCAGAGGGCACTGAAGCATGAAGCAAGGCTGTCTCCTAGGGTCCACTGCACATGAACATAGAAGGCTCTGAGGGCCCAGGCCCAGCAGATCTCCTTGAGAAGAATGTGGGTTGTGTCTGGGGACCTTACAATCCCTAGCCTCTCTGTCTCCAGGAACCTCTACCTGAACCCTGAGAACTTGGGCATCTCCAGGGACTTGAGGAGACCCAGATGATTAAGGCAAGTAGGAAAAGCATCCATTCCCTAACCCACAAGGACATGGTCCCCAGACCTCCCTGCCAGCTTCCCTGCTTTCCTGTCCTTTGACTGCCACTACCAATCAGCTGCTAGATTCATGCTCTAATTTGTTAGTTGTGTAGCTCTCTGTACCTCAGTTTCTCCTTTGTTGGTGTAAAGGTATGGAATGTTATAGTTCATGTGGCTCCTATCTGCACTTTGTTTTTCTTTTTCTTTTTCTTTTTTTTAGTGATATAATCAATCATTCCATTTATTTATTTATTTGTGTGTGTTTGTGCGTGTGTGCATGCATGTGTGCGTGCGTGCATGTGTGTGTGTCTATACAGCTATGTGTGTCCATGTTGGGTTCCTGCAGAGACCGGAGGAGGATGCAGGGGATCCTGGAACTAGAGTTACAGATGTTTGGGTGCTCCGTGGGTCCTCTGCAGGAGCAGCAACCACTCTCAACCATTGGGCCATCTCTCCAGCCCTTGTACTTTGAATAGAAGCTGGATTGTGGCTCTGCCAGTGTCGACATTTTCTAGTGTTACATCCCCAGGTCAAGTTGTGTTCCCCACTACCCTCCACTTCCTGTGTCCTATCCTTCATGTGTGTATAAATATGACTTTCATGTATATACTGCACCCCAAGACTTGCAAATTATAAACTCTCTCCGTCCTTGCTCTCTGTGAGAGTTAGTATTGATTACCTACCTGACAGGATGTAGAATCACCTATGAAACACACCTTGCTTATGTGGGATTATCTAGATTAGGGCACAGCACCATCCCCTAGGCTTGGGTCCTGGGCTGGGTAAACAGGAGGGAAGCTTGCTGAGCAAGTATTCATCACAGCCTGCCTTCTGACTGCAGATGCAAAGGACCAACTGCCTCAAGCACTGGCCACCAGGACTTTCCCCATCGGGATAGACTGTACCCTAGAACTGTGAGCCAAAATAAACCCTTTCTCCCTTAAGTTACTTTCGTCAGAGCAATTTCTCAGAGAGAGAAAAAGTAACTAAGGCAATGCCCCAATGGCTGAAGAGATGCATGGCCATCACAAAGATCTTAAATCATAACATGGACAGACAAATGGTTCAGGGCATGTGGGACAGGGCTGATGTTCTCCAGAGTCACCGGCTACCCAGCTCCACCTACTATCCTCATCTCTGCTGTTTCACAGACATTCTCCCTGGATCCCGCTCCTCTCCTCCTCAGACACCTTTCATGGCTCCCTACTGCTAGAGGTTGCTGAGGTTCGGTGACCATAGCTGCCATCAGAACCCAGGTCCCCCTCGACAGATTTTCCACTGTGCCCCCCACCCAACAGCCATTTTTCCCTTACTGTGGAAAGAGAAGACGAAGCTGGCAGCCTCCGGCAGGCTGGTGTTCTGGGGGCTCCGCCAGGAGGTGACGGAGGTGGCAAGGAGCGGGGCTCCCTGCTTCAGGCTCTGCTCCTGTTTCCGGAAGCACAGGAGGCTGGAGGCTCGGCTACTCAGCAAGTAATCATTCTTGCCATAGCGCAAGTGGAACCTCCCGGTGTGGCGGCTCCAGTACAGGCAGAAGTGATAGAGCCCTCTGGGTTCTGGGAAGTAATGGGAGGCCTCAGGTACTGTAGGGAAGGGGGCGCGAATTGTGAGGGCCTCCTCCGTGTTCCACACAGAGATGTGCAGCTCCGAAATTTGGTCGTAATGGAGGAGGCTCCGCCGTGTCTGGTTCCGCTGGCCACAGAAACGGAAGTCTTCTCGGGGGCTGCCACCATGGGCATCTGAGGAGACAGAGGCTACAGATGGGACCAGCCATTGGCAACAACCTGGGACTCACACATATTCCAAAGCTCTATGCGCTTCAAGGGTCTATAACATTGAGTCTATATCTGCTCAAAAATTACTGCTCAAAAATAAAATAAAACTGAAAACAAAGAATGATTTCAAAGTCAAAAACTCAGGTTTAATAGACGTTATTTAATGAGACCATAGCTGTTTTTGATTGTAGCGCAAGTGTGCACTGTCTGAGAATGCTCCCTGCAAATGAGTGGGAGGCTGACAGCCAGGCCATGATCCCCATCACATGAGTACTCCCTGGGGTTAAATCTCAGAAGGAAGCTGTCCCCTCAACCAGCTTACACTATGCTTTGCAGACCCACCCCTTACCCAAAGAGTTCACACACAACATGGAGGTATCAAACAAGGTCACAACAGTCCCAGGGCCCTGAGAAAGCTACCTTGAGGCAGGAAGAACAGACTCAGTAGGAGATATGACATCTGCAGCAGCTGGACTGCCATTTTACTCCCCAGAAGTCACTACCTGGAAAAGAGTGAGAGCATTATTGGGGGAGGGGGCAGCCCCACAGTTATTGTTATTGGTGGGGGTAGGAGTGAGAAGTCATGCAGAAACGGTCAAGCCTCTGCAGAGCAGCAAGGGGCTATCAAAAGGCACAGCCACCACTCTGCCTTTGTTGTTCTACCACATAGTCTAGTTGGCTCACAGAGGGTTCCAGAGGCCGTAGAGTAGCCTTTCCAGAATCCACCTGCAGCCACTGTCTTGCAGCTACCAGGCCTAGAGGAGAGACAAGGAAATGGGCTGTCTGCGTTTCCCCTAGGAACCACATGTCACAGACCCTGAGGCTTAGTTACAGGAAGCCAGCCTCTGGGACCAGTCTTAACTGCCTTTGATACCCCCCTACCCCATTGCCTGGGTCCTCTATCTCTACACCACCAGCTGGCACAGTCCCTCCTCATTCAGCCTGCTTGCTCCTGGCCACATTGAGAGATAGCCTAGAGCAGGAAAGCAGCAGGGTGAACTGGCAGGAAGGGTGCTTACTGTAATGGCCACCAGGGGGAACCAGCCACCAGGGCCTGGGAAGCTGGAGCAGAGAAGTGTGATTTTTCTCTTGATGGTCACACACACACACACACACACACACACGCGCGCGCGCGCGCGCACGCACACACAGACACCCTCACCCCTACCCCTGTGCCCAGTGAGGGTCAGCTCCATCCACACCACACTGGCCCATGGGCCACTATTAGCTGAGTGCCAGCTGGCTACCAGCCTGGCCACTCTACCCTACATGTACATGACTGCACACCAACGCTGCATGGAGCTGTCCTCTACTGTTAGCTCTCCCAGCTGGCCCAGGGACCAAGCTGGGTGCTGACATATGCAGGCTACCATTCCTCACTGTGAGGAACTGTGTCAGATCACAGTGACACACTCTTCTGCCACAAAACCAGGCAAAAGGAAGCCTAGAACCCGAGGCACAAAAGGAGTCAATATTTAGAGGAAAACTAGAAGGGCTCCTAGAAGAGGCAGATGTTAAACTCAGCGCCCAGGTGACCCAAGGAGGATCTTACTGTCTCCTTCCTGGGCTAGCCTCATTCTAGTCTAGCTGACCCCTCAAGTGAGAGCCAGTCCCTCACAACACCCAGACAAGAGGAACACCCAGACAAGAGAAAGACCCAGACAAGAGGAACGGAGCTTCAGTTTCTGAGGCCGTGGTCCTCCTTCGGTGCTGGAGCACCGCAGAGAGAGCACCAAAGTTGTGGGAGGAGCTAGTGTGTCTTCCATGTGGGCATAGGCTTCCCTGCATCCGGTCACACCACCGCCAGGCACCCATAACCAGCAGAAGAAGGACCAACATCTGGGAATGGGCCAGAGCCCCTTCCCTTCTTTCTGCAGCCCCTGACACTGTCGTGGTTCCTTTAGTCCTAATGCCTCTTCTTCCAGATAAACTCCTCACTTCAGCTTGAAGCTCACAGATCACTTGAGATTTGATCCAATTTCCACTTTCTGATGTTTAGCCCAGAGTCAACCAACAACTTTATGAGGTTACACAGCTGGAGAGGACTCACGTCCCTCTCAAAGTGGGCCACCATTGTCAGCAGAAGACCCAGGACAGGACAGAACCATATGTCTTCCACTAATCCTCCCCAGAGGAAAGGAGGCCGGAGGGGAGTGAGCTCCCATCACAGGAGAGGCACAGTGAGGCTGGGTCACCCTGGCAACCCATGGAAGCGATCAAACACAAACAAGGGGCCATCTGCCCCCCACCTATTCCCTTTTCCACCCCAGCTGTGAGGGCCACTCTAAAGACGGCACATGCCCCTGTCAGCATTTTTGGGGCTTGAGGAGGTGTTTGTTGTTTGGACCTCTTAGTTAGTGGACTCCAGAGCCAGACTACCTGGGTTCAAATCCCACTTCTATACTTTACTAGTTGTGTGTCCTTGAGTTACTCACCATATTTGGGCTTCATTTCCCTCTCTTGTAAAGAGGATTGCAAATCAAGCCTACCTCAGATGTCATTGTGAGAATCAAGTCTGTTGTTCTCTATAAAGGACTTTGAACCGGGATGCACACAGGGTACCATTGAAGTCAGGTTGTCTGTAAACCTTCCAACCATCGCACGCCTGTCCTTGACCCAGACCCCTCCCCCAACTCCCTATTCTATGCTTCCCTCCACAGTCCTGTGTCCTTTGCAGGTGGCCAGCTTGGCCTTCGGAGCACTTGAGGGGAAATTCCTAGAACATGAGCCTCCCTTCCGGACAGAGTAGCGGGAAGGCTGTGACCCCACCCAGAGAACTTCCCTCCTCCTAGCTGGCCCTGAGTATCACAGACTCCCAGGGACTGGAGAGGAAGGACGATAAGGGTAGGGCCTACCCTTCAGATAACTAAAGGATACCCACATGGGTCAGGGGGAATACCTTGCTGTTTACCCACTTAGCATATTCCTCCCTGAGCCCCTCCCAGGACTGTCCACCCAACCTCCTACTCCAACGGGCACAAGGCAATGCCTATGATGGAGCCCCTACTGCCCTCTGCAGGCATCCTAAGACCTGGTCACCCTATCTCCACAGCCTGCCACCTAGGCAGAAAGAGGGGCCTGTGTGTTCTAGAAGCCACATCTTAGAAGCAGCGGCCCACCTCCTAGGGACCACCTCTGGCCTGTGCAGATGAAGAATGGCAGAGCAGACCAACCTTGACCACCAAATACCAAGCCACCTGCCACACACAGCACTGCCCAAACCAACAGTTATGAGAAAGTGGATCCGCAGCCTCATCCCAATAGTAACAGCAGCATCTGGAGAATAACCAGGTCCCATGGTTTACCAGTTTACAGATGTGTAAACTGAGGCCACAAAAAGGCTGTCTATCCTAAAAGCACACAGGCCTGCTGCCAAGCCCTCTCTCCAAAGATCCCTAAGGTACACAACCCCTGGTTTGCGGTCCCCCCCCAGAGAGAAAAGCAGGAGCTGTGGGGGGTCACAGGCACACGGTGGACAAGCCCAGCCTAGAGAGGAGCTGCTGGGCTGAGCCCCCTACTCTCTGTTCCTTCAGAGCAGCCATCCTTGACCTCAGCTTCCGGTAAACATGCTGAGAACAGAACAAGCAGAGCCAGTCTAACACAATGGAGGACATCAGAGTCCCCAGGGAGTCCCGAGAATAGAGGGGGCAGGGCTGTGTGAGCCCAGATACCCCTTTCCTAGTATGACTGGTTGCTGGGGAGTGGTCCCCCACATGGTGGGCAGCAGTCCCAGAACTCACTTTCTCTCCAGAGGCCTGAGTCACTTCCCCTGCCATCCTGTGTGGACCTGCGTCACCCACCTAGACACTGCCAGCTCCTGGAAAACCCATTTCCTCCTCTGACAGAGGTGGAAGTTGAACTGATAGGACTAGAAGGGCTCTGAATTAACTCTTCCCAGGCAGCCACCTAAAGTGTCCAGTGGGACCCCTTTATAACCACTGGGGTCACAGGTTATCCCAAGGGTACCCATCATAGCCTCAAGCCATGTCCTGGATTCTGAATGGCAGATTCCCACTGTGGTCTGCTCAAAGCCCAAGTCTACAGGAGTACCGGCTGCTTCCCAGCCACGCACAGCCCTGTGTGCCTCCCTGCCAAGAGCCACTTAGAGGGGCCCCAAACTCTCAGTGCACGGGAACCCACCCCAGGAAGATACTTTGAAAGCTAAGGCCTGGGTCCTGAGCACACAGCTCAGGTGGGGTTTGGAGCCCGGCTTTAGCAGTATTCAGTGATTGACAGGTCACATGTGGGAACCAGGGGTACTCAGCAGCTGCACTTAGGCAACACCAGAGCAAGGAAAGGGCCTGTTACATTTACTCGGCTGTGAAGGAACAAGCCCTGGACAGGGACAAGGGGCAATCCTCCTCTCCTGATTCCTGTCCCGTCCCCATGACATCGCACATGGTCCCCAGTACTTGGCAAGTGGCTGGTCATCTGAGAGGCATCCCACGGCATAGCCCAAAGAAAATAAAGCCCATAAGAGGAAGGAGGGAGCCAACTAGTTTCCAGGTCTGAGCCTCTTATGATCAACCCAGGATCTATCTGGGAGACAGAGGAGAGGCCCAGCTTGCCATCAGCTACTTTCTAACACAGGGCTGTGGAATGTGTTCCTTGAGAGTTCTGGAGGCTCAGGGAACAATAGGGGCCTTCAGAGTAGAAGCATGCAGAGCTGCGAGTGTGCATGCCCACAAGCCCATGAGTGCACACTTGCAATGTGCACTGGGTGAGGAGGGAGGTGAGAAAGGCTGGAGTCAACTATGTTATCTCTACAGAGGAGGAGGCTCAGTCAAGGCCAGAGTGGGCGCAGGGCACATGAGCTTGCACAGGCTGGAATGTGGGGCCTCATAGAGCATGGGGCTGAGAGGACCCTCCCTCTGACACCTTCCAGGCTTGGCCCATCAGGACAGCTCCCTATTTACAATTACTGCATACCCAGACGCTGAAAGGAGATGCATCTCAAATCAGGGGACCAGTGCTGCCTCTCCGCTCAGCCACACCTCAGTTGGCTATGCCACCAGCTTCTGAGCACGATGCTTGTAAATGCCGGGCCCTGCTTTCTTCAGCTGCCCTGCACCACAACTGGGTGACTGACACCCAAGCAAGCTGACCCCTCCAGAACCTACCCCTCACTGAGAAGGAGCAATGGGGACACAGGGCAGCACAGTGACCTCAGGCTTCAGGAATCTGTCTAGACTGCATAATAAAAATCAAGTTGGCACCTGCTGGAGGCTGGCAGGTCCCCAGGCCTTACCCACTAGGGCAACCTTCATTTTCTGTGTTTGTTTGTTGTTTGCCTCACACTTAGCCTGGGCTGGCCTCAAACTCACAGCTATCCCCCTGCCTCTACCTTTCCAGAGCCACCATACAGGGCACAGTTGCCATTCTAAACCCAGACTTGCTATAGGACCACATGGCTAGCACAGGTTTCACCTTCCTGTGATTTCCTACTCATGTCCATGAGCTGCAACACCATTCTGCCAGCCCTGCCCCATGGGAGGAGAGATGTGGCCATTGAGTGCCAGCCAACTGAGGGCCTGTGGGCACAAAGGATTCTAAGCCTCAGTTGCTGATCCTTCCATAGCTTCCCATTACTGCAAGTATACACGCACACAGGAGGCCCTAGGAAGGCCAAGGATCTTCACCAAGCATGGATGGGCTGGCTTTGGCCACTCACTTAACTGTCTTTACATACAGGCCGTTCCCGTGGTGCCAACTTGTAGCATTCCACTGTCCTGGGCTCAGGCCTCTGTCTCTTCCACAGCTCCACGATGATCAGTAGACAGCAGACAGTGTGTGGAGCTCAGGAGGGATCTATCCAGGATGGTGAAAGGGACTCTGAAATCCAGGTCCCCTCCAGCAAGCACATAGTACCAGCACCAGCGGGGCCATTGCCACATGTGTCCCAGGGCTCTCAAGTCTATATAGTCCATTCACCTTCCTCTAATTCTGGAACAATGCTTATGCAAAAACAGGGAACTTAAAATGCAAAGGGCTTACATCACTGCCAAGATCACATAGTAAAGGGAGAGGCACACCATGACTCAAATCAAGTCCATCTAACCTCAAACAATGGTTCCAGCCACTGTGGTTACTGAGTCCCTTCCCTCCCTCAGGATCCCTGGACTTACTGTGGGGGAACTTGCCACTTATCTCCTGACTAGGGAGACTTTGAACCCTACTTTCTCTTATGCCTTGGCATAGTAAAAGGCTCTAATAAGTGCTGCAAGAGAAACAGCACAAAACTACTGGGGCCAGGAACCCCTAAAGCAATGTCATTCATGTGAAAAAGAAAACCAAAAAACCAAAAAACAAGCCCTCAGTAGCCTATTAGCACACACACCTTCACGTAAGTGCATACATGTGTACACACGCATACACAGTCTCCAGCCCCTGTCCATCTCTGAGCTGTCCCCAAGGCCATTAGCTAGCACAAGATGGGCCACTGGAGCCATTTAGGTTGCAGTGATCCCCAGGGCCTCTCATCACCATCTCTGACACTTCCAGTCGATGTGTCCCCTGTGAGCTTGAGGTGTACTCAGGCTGGTGCTGCCTCCCTTCACAGGCGGCAGGGGTTCATGGGTAAAGAGCAGAACCATGCCTGACCCAAAATGTTCCATTATATCCTCCCCTGGCAGGCTGGGTTTATGTCCCAATCTCTGACAGCTAAAACACTGGGAATTCTGGAAGACAGCAAGGATGAAGTCCCAGGATGAAGATATTCAAAGCCCCGTGGAATCTGGGGGCCAACTGGAGAATCTGAGAAGCTAAGGGAGAGGGAGTGGGGTAACCGCCGGGAAGCCACATCTGTCTCACCACAATTAACCCAGTATGGGCTAGGGCTTGGGCAGTTCAGGGACTCTGGGGCCAGCCCTGCTCAGCTTCTTGTCCTGGGTGTTCCAAGCCAGGCCAAAGCCAAGGGTCCAGCACACAGTCCTATCTAACGGACCACTGTGACCAGCCTCTTGGATTAGTACACTGAGCCAGCATCTGCCTCTCAGGGCTGGGTGGCAGCAGTTACAGGCACAGAGGCCAACCAAGCTCTGTGGCCACCTAAGCCTGGAATCTCAGGCCAATCTGCCTCTCAGTGGGCCTCAGTTTCCTGCCTTGTCAATGGGCGATATGACCCGTGTCCTCTGCCTGTTACTCGGGCAGATTCAGGGTCCTTGCAGGTGAAGGAAGACCTTACCTCTGAGCTGGCAGTGAGGGACAAAGAGGACATCCAGCCCTGGCCAGACTTTCCTCCCTTTCAGACCACAGCAGTCTCTGTGTCTGCTGGAAGTTCCCCTTTCCCATCTGCTTTCCTGAGTTGCCCAAGGCCACCCGCTGGCTTTCTGGGGGCTGCACTGGGCTCCCCTGAACCAGGCAGAGTGCCCATCTGTGGATTGTAGGATCTTTCTGTTCCCAAGGTCAGCTACCAATCCTCCCCTTTTCTCCTCCTCCTTCCTGGCCCAGAGGCTGCCAGCTCAGGGACACAAAGCCAGGTACTTTGCAACTATGACTGGATCCAAGGCCCCTGCAGGGAAGAGACAGGAGGCACTGACCAGAGCTCCCTGAGCTCCCAGCTCCCTGAGCCCACAAAGGTTCCCTCAGCTCCATTGGGACACCCACAAGCAGGCACTGACCCCTGCAGTAACACAACTAGCATCAACCAAACACTTCAGAAAGGCAGGGCAGCACTCAAAGCTCTATGAGCAACTAATACATTTATTTGCTTGTGTTTTGCGATGGTGTCTCTCTATGTATCCATCATGGCAATGAACATATAATCCTCTTGTCTCAGCCTCCCAAGTGTTCAGATTACAAGCCTGGGCCACCAGGACTGGCTTCTAATCTTCTTTTAAAAACCCATGAGAAAAGGACCGTGACCCACCGAACAGATGAACATGAGGTCCCTAGAAAGCCAAGTCACCTGCCAAGGTCACACAGTGAGGAGTGGAGATTGCATGGGAATAGGCTAGCTCCAGAAGAGGCCAGCTCACAAATGGAAAGTGTACCTGCTAGTGAGAGCCTCCATTTAGAAGTAACAGCGAAATGCTCTCCTTGGTTAAAGCTGACTATCATCTGCACAAGGCTCCAGTTCAGGGGACAGCATGAACTTACCCAGGTGACCATGGATCACAGCTCCTCTCTGGCTTTTCCCAAGGCTGTGGTGTTTGCAGCCCTCCTCGCCTGGTTATCTCCCGCAACCCTTCTCTGAGACCTGTGCTGTGACCACAGCTGCAGCTGACTCAAAATGTTCAGCTAGAGAGGGATGGGGTGTGTGGCTACCCCCAACCACTTCCTGGTGGTTCTCCAGACTGCTGCTGTTTGAGTCCCCTTAGAGGACCAGCCACGGTGCCCCTGGGGTCCCTGGAAGCCCACCACCATTATCTACATGTCAGTGTTAGGGAAAGGGGGGATGCATGGTTAGAGGCGAATGAAGAAAGGAGGCCGCGGAAGAAGAAAAGGAGATGGTACGATGGGTGGGGGGAAGGAGAAAAGGGAGAAGAAAAAGGAGATGAAAGAGAGCAGGAACGAAAATCTACCTGGCTTCCTCCTCCAGGCAAGAGTGACTGGGCGAAGACTCCCTGTTTGCAGGCAGCAGACTGCTGGAGTAAGGGACACTCTCCCCTAGTAAAAGGGGCTGAAGGTCGCATGGAAGCCTGCCCCCCACAGTCACCACCCCCTTACTAGAGCTTCAAACAAAGGGGGCAGGCGGGAAGCTGGGCTGAGAAGACGGGCCTCCAGCGCCAAGGGGGAGGAAGGGGCGCAGGTGACAGCAGCCCCTGGCAACCGTTCCCCTGGCAACCGTTGGCAGCTGCTTGGACTGCGTCACTGCCTGGCTTAGAGCGCGGGCTCTCTAACTTCTCTGTACCAGAGTGTGAGTGCTTTTATCCTGAGGCTGCCTGGGCTAGGCAGGCACTGGCAGGGACAAGTTGGGTTCATGTGCCAAAAAGCAGTCCCTAGAGCATAGGCCATCTCTCTTGAGAAGACCTCAAAACCCCAGAGCACCCAAGTCCTCTACGGAAGCAGAATGGTAGATTTTTGCACGAAATCTTCCAGTTACTTGGTACTGGTTTGTTTTTGCATTGCTTTGTTTTAAGGGAGAAGCTTGAGGGAAAGTTTTGCAATGTAATCCAGGCTAGTCTTGAACTTGCTATCCTCCTGCCTCAGCTTCAAGTACTGGGATTATAGGTGTGTGTCACCACTCCTGGCCCTCAGCAGTGACTTTAACATCAAATAGATTTAGAACACACTGGGAACCAGACCCTTGACCAAATGATACCTATTGGAAGCTGGCACTTGCTGGCTGCCTCCCCATGGTCTTGACTGCAAGCCAGGTGGACCATTCTCTGTTCCCTACCACTGGCTACAGTGAACAGAGTGTATGCCATTCTTCCCTGAAAATGCCAAATCTGTTTCTTCCTAAAAGCCTTCCCAGATTGCCATAGATCACTCATAATCCCCTTTCTAAGACAATCCAGGGCTAGGGCTCCTCCTACCTTTCTCCCAGAGCTCTCTGGCTGGGGCATGAGCTTCTGAGCCCCTCCATACTTGGCTAGGAAGAAAGCAGGACGGAGTCAAGGCTTCTGGCTCCTTCGCTGAGCACCTAGTGTTGGGCATTTTAGAAGCTCATTTCCATCACTCTGCATGACAAAGTGGGTTGAGCCTATGTTGAGACGACAGGACCCTAGTGGCTGGGGAGGAAATGTGATTGCTCAAGGCTTACTTAACTGGGAAGAACAGATTATAGAACACAAACACAGATGTCTGCACCTCTAAGTGCCCACCTCATCCGAAACCATGCACATCCAAGCTCCATTTGATCTCCAGGACAAGATGTTCACTTCCTTCTAAATGGGCACAGCTCCACCCTCTGTGGAGCCTTCCTACCCAATGAGACAAAAGGGAAAGGCATCGAACACCCGGGTGACCCCTGAGCTTCAGATGAACTTGAGCGAGAGAGGGGAGGTGTGCAAAGGGCCTCCTGCTCCAGGTCAGCGGCAGGTAAGGAGAGAGTGGGGATACCAGGGCCGAGGCACAGGGTCCCAGGCCTCCGCTGAGTGGTGGCAAGCCCTTCCCCAGAGCACCGGTGGGAACTCCAGGGGATCCCACGCCTCAGGTGGACCTGGCATAGGCCCTGGGAAAGGCAGCAGGACTTGGGGTCCTGGGCACGCTAGCCCGGTGCCTCTAGCCCATGGACCCAAGCCAGCAGGCTGTCGCGGTCAGGAGGCCACTATTGTCTCCCTGCCAGAGTCTGGGACTGTTCAAGCTCTATTTTGGGCCAGGAGGAAGAGGAAAAGAAAGCAAAGAAAGGAGCTGCTGTCCTGGGCAGGGGTGGGGGTGGGGACACCTTCCCTGCCTCCAGAAAGAAATGCAAGGCCCACTAGCTGGGAAGGTAGCCATGTAGGGTCAAAGGACCCTGGGACCTCAAAGAAGCTGGCAGGGTGCTGAGGCTCTGAGGACCCAAGGGGAGGGCACCCCAGCCCTTTACACACACTTGTGCTCACTCACTGCAGCAAGAAGCAGGGCGCAGCCTCATTCCCACCTACAGCTCCCGTGCCTCCTACCCATCTTCAACCCTGAGAAACCTGACACAGCCATTGCTGCTCAGAAACTACAGCCCGAGCTAGACCAGCTTTGTGCCTGCTGAGCTTCTAGGATGCTCTGAGCCGAGAGGAGGAGAGGATCAGAAATGTCTGTCACATATCCAAGACACAGAGCAATATAGCTGTCAACACAAACCAGTAACCCCACTCCAGTCCCACCTTCTGCCGCCCTGCCTTTCTCACAGTCACCAAGTCCAGTGCACCTCTAACTTCACCCCAGAGCCTTTGTACACGATTGCCCCCTCACCACTATGTGGCTTTTCCATGACCGCCCCCCTCCTGAAATACTATCTGTAACTCCCAAATTCAAATTGTCTACTGTGTCCATCATGGTGTTTGTAGTCACCTGGCTTTATTTGAAGGCTCATGGTCATCTCTGAAGTGTCCCTGCCATTAGCTTGTTTACTATTCTTCAATGGCATTTGCTGTCTTTTCTTTTTAAAGTTATTGTTGTTGTTCTGTTTTTTTTTTTTTTTCAGTTACATGCATGTGCATATTTGTTTCTCGGTGTATCTGTGCATGTAAGCATGGGTGCTTTGGAGGCCAGAGGTATAAAATCCCCCTGTGGCTGGAGTGACAGGTGGTAGTGAGCTGCCTGACATGAATGTTCGAACTCAAACCCAAGTCCCTGCAAAACCACTAAGCTGCATCTCTCCATCTCTGTCTGACTGGCTTTGCACACCTGACATCTCTGCTAATACTGCGTGGGGACCACAGCAGCTGCCCAGTGCTGCTAGCTGAGCAAATGAGATGAGCTGAGGCTCAAGCCTGATACTATAGATCCATGTTAAAGGTATCTGCTGGAGGGGCGGGGCACTGAGCTGTCCCCAGCCTCTGACTAGGGAGGGAGGTGCCAGCACCTCTGCCTTGTATTGGGCCACTACAGGAATCCCAAGACCACTGAGAGCTGAGAGTCAGAAACTCTAGGCTAACATCCCCTTCCACACATAGTAAAAATCCCTGAGAAGTGCTGAAGCACCCAGGTTCCCTTACTCCTATTCCCTGGTTGGGGGGGGGGGAGCACTCCAAAGGTTTCTGGATGACATAACATCTGATAGCTGACTAGCAACTGTGAAACCAAGCCCCAGGTTTTCTCTTCACGCACAGGCAATGTTACCAGCCTGTGTCCCTCAAGGGCCTGCTCCTGTGGGGTTAGGGAGCCCCGGAAGAAGTCTCACTTATCACTGTCACTGTGATCACACTCCCTGCTGGGCTCCTGCAGTGAATCAGTAAGGGGAGCCGGGGTGGCTGCCTCTGAAGACTAGGATTGGGCACACCAAGCAGTGCTAGGTCATGACAGGGACGTGCCTGTGACATGCCCCTGCCTCTACACCTTTACTGCCACCCGTGAGGAGGGAGACTTCTCATTGTGCAACTGAGGAAGCAGGCTTGGAGAGGAGCCGTTTGCCCAGAGCCATGGGGCTGGTAAAACTGAACCCTAATTCAGTCTGTGACCCCTTCGCCCACATGTCTCTATTGTACCGTTGCAACACCCCACTCTTGCACTGGCAGCCCCGAAACATAGAGTGTTAGCTCACCATGCCACTCTGCAGAGGTAGAGAAAGGGCTTAGAGGGTGGGGTTGCAGCACAACCCTGAGCCTCACAGCTGAGGGACTGGGCCAGACCGCCCCTCTACATTCAGGTGGTGTGTGAGCACCCTGTCCTCACCTATCATATTTACTGCAGCTTTGAACTCTGGTTCCCCTGGTAGGGGGACAGAGGTGGGACACCTGCTTATGCTGACATCCATGGCAGGGTCTCCAGGGAGAAGTGCCAACTGCCTTCCCCAATTACAGCTGGTACTGGTGAACCCTGTGCCAGGTTCAGAGGCCAGACCCTACCACCAGGGCTCCAAAATACGTACAAGAGGCAGAGGCCAGAAGAGCATGGAACAAGTGTTGGCAAGAAGGTTCCTTACTGCCCTGCCCACTGCCCACAACTCCAGCAAGGCGGTATTGGGGAGGAAGGGAGGGGCAGCCTGCATGCCTGCCCAGATTCAAGACTACAGAATAAGGATGATCAAGAGTCCCCAGACTCTGCAGGTGACTGTGTGTCCTTCCTGCACAAAATAACCTTGCTCACTCCCAGTTCCTCACATGCTGTCTTAGAAAACACCCCGAAGGTGTAGTCAGATGCACCAGTGGTGGAGGTAGGTACAATGACCAGCAAGGTAGTGGCGGGGCATTCTGTCGCCCACAGACACCACCCGTGTTCTGGATAACACTTAACAGCTCTACAGGACATGGTCATTGGTGCCATCTCCCCAGAGCTGGGAAAGCTCATGCCTGGAACAACTGTAAAGAAGGCCCCATGACCACCACCACCACCACTACCACCTCCCACCCCTGCCAAGGCTTTTTCATGGCTCCTCTGGCAACTTGAGTACTTGAAAGGATGGAGTGCTCACCACCTCCAGTGGGAACAGACATTGTGACAAAACAGGAACAAATCTGACCAGAGGCAAGTAACCAGGTCCCTGCCACCATGAACTGTCCAGGGAACATCCCTCCCTCAACCTGCTTCATCATCTCTGAAATGTGGATAAGCATTAAGCCTTGGAGGAGCAAAAATACCAAAGACAGAATGAGGACCTTGGGCAGTGAAGTGATGCTGAGGGGCAGGCTATTGGCCAGCCCAAGCCATTTGGCACCTTCCCAGATGATGATACAACAGACCGGAATCAGATCCAAGTTCAGCATGACTCAGCTGCCTCACCAACCTCTGAGGTTTGCCCCTCACACTTGTCAGCATCAAAACAGGTGGGTCGGGAAAGTTGTCACCTACCACAAGATCAAAAACCCAGGCTTCCAGACACAGAACTGTGCCCTGAGAAATAGGCTCAGCTGGGGATGGTAACTCAACCCAGGCCCCAGGGACCAAGGGGACTCATTCCAAAAGAGGAGTGACTAGAGGGAGCTGCTCAGGGCACCAGCCTGGCTGGAACCCAGGCATCCCTTCTGAACTAAGGAAGGCGGCCAAACAGGCCAAGATCTAACAGTAGGCAATGCCTAAATGTCACCTCCCTTGCTATGCCTTTTCAAAGGGGTCTTCCATCCTTTTCCCCTGCACTTGAAATACTAAAGAGAAACCTCAGATAAATGACAGTAATTCTAACTGTGAAGTCATCTCTTTCAAAGACTGCAGAAGACTGCAGGGAATCT